GCATTCGCAGAAATGTTTGTGTGTTTATAAGGAGAGTGATGCTCAGCAGGAAAAATAATCAGACAGATCACTTTCCCCTTTGCAGATGGTCCAAATGATTGACTGATGTGTGCACACGGCTGTGAAGGCACGTGTCCCCGGCAGCCTGCGTGAGTCTAACATGTTGAGTGTGTTACGCAGGAAGCAGCCAGATCAGGTCGCTTTGGAACACGGATACAATTTCAGCAGGTGGCACAGCTAACTGTGTGTGTGTGGATTAGCTTTTGTTACGTTTTAGGACTTTTTCTGGTATAAGCACTTACCTAGACGCCACTTTGGGGTTAAGTTGAAAATTAAGGTGAACTGGGTTTACGTTAGGTACTGGTCAGGATCAGGGTTAGGCTACAGAAATAACTGGAAATGAATGGAAGTCAATGCACAGTCCTAATAAGGATATAAATACAAACCTGTGTGTGTGTGTATGTGTGTGTGAGTGAGCGTGTGCATGCACATGGACACATTAACCTGTTAGAGAGCCCCTGGGCAACATATTTGCTCTGGACCGAGCTGACCCAGTTCAGATTTGAACCAAACCTCTCTTCAGTCACAGACCCTGTTTTTCACTTTGACACAGATTATTTGGAAAAACAAGTTTAACAAATGCTTTTCAACGTGGACGTTTTTGATTGCAGATGTCCAAGATTTTGGACAAATGATAAAACTGCATTGTGCATGAACGCACATTAGTTTTTACCAGATTTTTCTACATGTGATCCACATGTTTCTGATCCTGCCTCTATTCGGTGTTGGTAGAGAACTGAAAAATGTTAATAATTAACCCAGCCAAGTTAAGTCAGATCATCTGGATGGTTTCTTTGTGTTGAGACGATTCGTCTGTCATCCAAAGGACTTCATCAGTCCGAGGAGCCACAACAAACTCAGTCCCACAAGCAGCACAATCATATAGTGCGCCAAACAGTTTGATGGTGATGAGATGGTTTCTAGAGTCCGCCCTCTCCCCCGTCAACTCCCCTGACGCAGTCATAGCCAAAGTGGTTCAAAACATCGAAGTCCATGCTCAATAATCCAGGTAAAAATCCTGGTTGGCCCACTATGCGAGTGTTTTACTTATGGGACTGAGTTTGTTGTGGCTCCTCGGACTGATGAAGTCCTTTGGATGAAAGATGAAATGTTTCAACACAAAGAAACCGTCCAGAGGACCTGACTTAACTTTGTTGGATTTTTAACCTGGATTATTGAGCATGAACTTTGATGTTAATAATTAACCCTTTTACGAGAGCTACAATTTTTAATTGGATACTTTAAACCTTTTGAAGTGGGGTCCTGTTGAAGGATTATGAAAAGTTAACGTTGTACCTGTAGCTTTAGACAAATTAATTTGCTTCTAAAATGTTTGACGAGCTAATGTCTGGTCCAAGCATGGTCAAGATCAAAGTGAACTTTTGCCATCTTAAAAACAACTCCAATATAAAATGAATTCACCATAATTCATGCAAACTACTTTAGTTATGGCAAGAATGCTATAATATTTCTACTATAATAGGTGTGTAATGAAACTAACAAAACTGTAAAATCAAGATCCTATGAAATGCTGTAAAATATTTGATACTGGAGTTGTTTTACAATGCCAGTAATCCACATTAATCTCTGTCTTGCTCAGACTAGCCATTAGCTTGTCAATCATTTGAAATTAAATTCTATTTCTCCAAACAAAGCTCAGTCAAAGAGCTATCTACAACAGGTGAGATAATGATTGTTCTTAACAACAGAACCTCACTTAAAGAGATCTGAGCTCATCTTTTAGCTACGATCACGGTTCTTTTTATATCCGTGGGTCAGCGTTGTCACCTTCACTACAAATGATCCGTTTTAAGTTCTGCTGCATGCCTGAACATCATTTTATTAATGTAAAATTTAAAACATTATCTATAGTAATGCAGTTAGGGACAGAAATAAAAAAAGAATAAAAAACAAGTTTTCATAGGAGTGATTTAGTCAAAAGACAAATTGTCTCATCAAGTTTAAACATTGATGATGCATCAGTTTGCTGCCTCTTTAGCACTTTTAATTAGCTCATTGGGACATTTTTGAAAGATAATTACTAATATTTTTTCAGTTCTGGATGTGGGTTAAACACCAGTCCTAATAGAGTTATGTCAGGAGGTGAATTTAAATCAGGTTATTTTGACTTAAAGTAAATTAGTAGAGTTTAGGGATACGTTTTGATTCAGACTGCACAAATGAGTGTTTGTACAATTTCTTGACAAGAATAGTTGCATAAGCTTGTGCGTGTGTGTGTCCATCCACAAATATCGTGGCTGCGCTTGCCGTTTGTATTTGCTTGTCCACGCTGAACGGGAATATTGACTGTAAAAATGCCATTTAGTGATTGTCTGACAGCCAACGGGCTCAAGGTAAACAGTAAACTTTTGGGACACGAGGTGGAAAATACACAAATAAACACGGAGGCAGATCGGATAAATACCTACGCAGTACGCACCAGCTCCGTCTCCCACTGCCACGAACGCCAACTATCCTCTCAGATTACAGGGATCGTGTCTCATAACATTTCCAAATAGTTCATTAGCTCCCGAGAAGTGCTCAGCGGTCAGGTCTCACTTTCTGTCTCTCGTCTTTGCTGACCCCTCCGGGACAAAGATCTTTGATTTAACCTGAGGTGTTAGAAAGTAAACACAGTGCGAAAGCTCAAGAACTGAAAAAAGTGAATGTTTTTAGGAAAACTTGTGAAAAAATACTTGTCTGACATGACAGAAAGGGTCAGACGGTTTGTAACCAAAGCTTTCTTTCTAGTTGTTTAACTTTTACTATGTAACAAATCACTTAAGTATATTTAATTCTGTTGCACATTTTGCACCCCTTTTTCCACGACACATTCTCACAGCTAATATAATTTTGAAGTACATGCAAAAACTTGCTCTGCCTTCATCTTCAGTAACTCCTTCATTATGATAACCCTCCTGCTGCCCTTGGGTCATAATGATTCACAAGGCCTAAAAACCTCATGGATTATTTTAACCCAAGGGCAGCAGGTGGGCTAACTGAATATAACATGGTGACAAGTGTGAAATGAGTCATTATGAACATGATGTGCTTTATTTTGAGAAATAAGTAAAGAATGTGGCTTTTGCTTTGAATAAGCTGCCAGCTAACATTTTTATTTGAGCGAGAGAGCTAAGCACTTCCTTTGCTGCGATGAATGTGCAACAGAAGTTGAGCAACCACCTGTTTGTTTAAGTGGTCTGGTGTTAACTGAGTAAACTGACAGGCGATGAAAGCACCAAATGTAGCTGAAAAGGTCCTGTGGAAGTTGGACTTTTGCCAAGCAGACACAAAATTCAGCCACTTTCATTCCAGGGGGGAAGATTTAATTTTAGTTAAAGATTGGTTTATTTATTTAATCTTTTTTTGCATTTGTCCTAGGTGTGAGTGAGAGGTTGTTTGTCTTGTTTGTCTCTATGTGTCCCTGTGATGGACAGGAGACCTGTCCAGGGTGTACCCAACCTCTCGCACAATGACTGCTGGATACGGGCACCAGTGACCCCCGTGACCCGAGAAAGGAAGAAGCTGGTAAAGATAATGGATGGATGCATTTTTGCTCAAAATAATCTGATTTGCTTCTTGCTCTCCTGTTGGTGGATTTTGTTGTAGCAACCAGCAGGAGCTTCATCTGATTGTGCCTTCAGCCAAATGACACAAGTCTTTTGGCTGAAGATGAGACAGGAAATTATAACTCTCTTCATTGAGAACAGTTGCTATTTATGTTGCAACGACAACTCTGCCTCTGCCCCCCATGAGAGACCATCCCCAATATCTGCGCTCAATAATGGATTCAGGTTCCTATTTATAGTCCCTCCACTGTCTCTGTTCTCGTTTCCTTCTGACTGTCACTCTGACAGCTCTTGTATTAATTATAGTCGTTGCTGGCCATTATAAAAAAAAAAAAAAACTGTTGCAGAAAAATTATCAAAGCCTCCGCAGAAACACACTGTCAGATATTTGAGAACATGAGAAGAGTAGGCGATTCTAACAATAGCTGAATTGAGATGCATTCGGATATATCACTTCTCAGGAACAGGGTTATAAAAAGAAGAAGCAAGTCCAAGGATTAAAAAGTTAATTCAGTCAATTATGAGGAGGCAAAAATTAAGTAACAGGAGTAATAGGAGGGAATTACATCCAGCAAATTAAAAAGAAGGTATTTTAACAGGGTAAACAAAGCAAAATAAAGGTGTTAGAAACACATTGGGTAAGGAAAAATCTCATTTATTCAAATTCTCATTAAAGAAATCTATAAGTTTGTGTGTGGTCAAGTAACCGTGAATGAGGTAAACAGATATACGCTGGTGACAGGTCATCACAACCACCTTCTGCCCCTAAGAGACATCCATTAGCATGTTCTGTAATCTTCATACCAACATGTAACAGCTGGTCTCCTCAGTGGCTTCCCTGCTCACATTCTGAGAGACACTTAACACAAAATTAAACCCATAACTTTTTCAATAAATTTGACTATTTTGCACAAGCTCTCTTAAAAAACAAAGGCAACTATTATAAAAGTTCAACTTATGAATATTCAGTAAGGATTGCAAACAGAACCTTTCTAACGTTAACTTAACCTGCCATCCACTGCATTAAATCTATATTTTAGCAGAAAACCTCAAATGAGGGTTGGAAAAAAAAGTTTAAGTCCAATCATTCTTTAATTTAAAAGAGATGTCAAATTAGAAGCAGCTAAATGAGTCTGTTGTTGTCATGGCTACCGTCTCCTGGTTACATCAGGTTTGCTTCCATCCATTTATATGTGATAGTGAAATATAACTAAGCATAAATATCACCAGCCTGTTTCTAAATCTTATCGTTCACGCAGCGTTTCTTCGTTGACACGCAGCGACCTCTACTGGTGGAAACCTATAACTACAGGGATTGTTGTTAAGGCGTTCTTTTTAAATAAAGTTTTCTCTTCATTAACTCGATTAAACATGGCCGCCCTAGCAACCACTGGACGCGATGAGAGACTGCGCTCGGTAGATATTACAAAACTATTTGCTGTGTTTTCTCCAAAACGGACATATGTTTGAGAACACATGTTTAAATAATTTGGAGGCAATGGACAAAATGAAAGACAAGGTAATGCAGGGCAGTTAAAAACGTGTAGGTACCACAGGCACAGATACCAATTACAAGTACACTGGAGGTACTGGAATTAATGGTTCACTCGCCAATCTTTAGTATAACTAATTAGAATAATTTAAAGTTAGATGTTTTGTTACACCACTCGATTTTGTCCGACAATGGATACGGTAGTTGTTGCGGGCTTACGTATTGTGTGGCCATTCAATAGTACTGAGGAAATAAGTGTTGCATTATCGGATGTATGGCAAGTTCAAATGGTAACTTTATGATTAGGAGTCAGGGGCGATTCTAGAATCTGCCCTTTAGGGGTGCTTAGCCCCCAGTACTGACAATGGCTTGAACAACGTGGTGGCCATTGGCATCAGAAGCATTTGTAGTGGGGTGGGAGACGGGGGTCTGGGAGTCCTCACCCAGAAAATTTTGAATAAAGTAGATGTCATTTCCTGCATTCCGGTGTATTTTAACGGGTTGTTAAACATCTACGTTTACCTCCATAAGTAAACACTTGATTCAGTAACTATTTTAGAGAGCACAGCACAGCAAGAAGTAAGCGCTGCTTTACATTACACAACTTTTGTACAAAATCAGTTTAGTGTTAACTGATTAACAAACAAAGATTAAACTTATGCAACCAGATGTTGCAACATAGCTGTACCCAAATTTAAAACGCACAAAACAAAACGCATCTAGCTTCAAGCATTAACCTACAATGTAATTATGACAGAAAATGGAGGATTTACTTACAGTTAACTTCATACAGAGGAACATGTGGTACTTCCTGTTTATCACTGTTGTATTCAGCTGCTCATGAGACCGGCCGCAGGCTTTATCCATCTTTTACATTTTTCCAGACTCAGTTGAGTTTTTTTTTTTTTTCAGGGGTGTTGAGTTAAAATTTAGGGGTGCTTGAGCATCCCCAAAAAGAGGTTAAAATCACCGCTGTTAGGAGTGATAAGTTTTGGGGTCTTCTCTATTTTTATTTTTTTCAGGGTGATGGAGAGTCCTGCATCCATCAAGCCACTACTGCAAGTCCAGTCAGAAGAGACGGAGTGGATCAGAGGTTGGACAGACAGAGAGCTGTGTCATTTCTCCGAGAAGCTGAGAAGAACAGGAGGCAGTGAGTGATTTAGTTTTATTCATGTTCAAATCTAAAAAACAAACAAACCTGCAATTACTTTAGTGATGCAGTGAAGGACAAATAAAAGAAAATCTATCTTTGGTTCATTAATCTAAGCAGTCATTTTCCAAATTCCACTGTTTAACTCTTTTTTTTTTTTTCCAATAGGATAGAAAAGATGGAGAAAGAGCAAACACTGAATGCTCTGTGCAAAAAGCATGGCTGGACAGATGTGTATGATGAACTGGAAGAATATGAAAAAATATTGGAGAAAGAAAGAAGAGCTCAACGTGCGTTTGCTTATTTTTTCTTATTTTTTTTTTAAATATTTTACATTCCAATTTATTCGGTCGCACTTTTTGTCTTTAGAGGTTCATCTCCAGAAGCAGCTAGCTAAGATTCAAAATGGTGTGAGGACATTTCAGGGACATCTAACAGATGTAAAGCCAACTCCTCAGTGTACGTTTTTGCTTCTTTTTAATATGGGGGAAAAAAATGAAAAGGCATTTGATTTTATCCAATTAAATTTTATTATTTGACCAGTCATCTTCTACGACATTCATTGAATGTCATTATAAATCATGTTTTAGGACAAAATGTTGTTAATGTTATATTTCTTCTTGGGCTTTTAGTGATTGAAAAGCTGAAGGAAATCATGTCAGAGGTGGAAATCTCAATAAACACCTTGAAGGAGGAGCAGCGTTTGTGGCAAGAAGATACCTAGGAATGATTACAGGCATTGACATAAAAACAAATAAAATAATAAATTACTGCTTTTTTTGTTTCTCTCAGCTTTGAGGAGTATCTGAAGGAGGAGAGGACATGCAAGCAGGAAATCAATGCTTATGAGAAAAGATTTGAAAATTGGAATCTTCCTTTTAAGTCAAACTCCAAACTTCCCACAACTTCTACTCTTAAGGTTTGTCTATCCTTAACTTCCTCCTGTCGGTATTTTCTTTCCTGGCCATCAGTCACTAAATGAAAAGAGAATGCGTCTCTTTATTCTTTTTTTTTTAGACTAAACTCAAGGACAGAGACCTCCCTGCAGAGGTCAGAGCCGTGGAGGATTTCCTGCAGAGGACAGGTGGTCAATATGGAGGCTGGGAGCAGTTTGATCATCAAGCCTTTCTAAAGGTTAAGCACACAGATCACTGTCCACCTCTTTGCTCATGGAAACTTCACCTGACTTTAAAATAGTTGTTTGACTTAAACTTTGGAACTTTAGGTTTGGACAAAGTACAACGGGCAGCCATCCTACAGGAAAGAGGCCAAACTGTACCTGCCAGGTAAAACTCTGGAGGAGATAGAGCAACATGAAGAGTGGCAGCAGGAGCTGCTCAGCTTAAACAACAAAAAGAGAGAGGTAACAAAACTGTAGCATCACATTCCCCCATTGCTGAGCAAAGAGGGAGAATTAAAAATCCCCTCCGTCCATGTGTCCATCATTAGGCCTGTCGTGATAAACAATAAATCAATTAATCGCATGATAAATGAAAATTATTGACCTCATTTTCATTTATCAGCTTTATTGTTTCTTCGTGTCTCTCTCTTTCTACTGAAGACACTGGATGACAAAAAGCTCAACACCAGCGCTCTTCACTGACCCCTCCATTTCTATTTTCTCTTTAAAATCTATTTTAACCATCCAAAATCACATTTTTGGATCATTAAAAGCAGCTAAGCTGAGAAGCTAAGCTACGAGCTAAGCTAACAGGCCGACCTCTGGAAAAAACCTCCGTCTTGTCGAAGCTCCAAAATTCACAGCTGAAACCCGTGCCTTTGTGGAAAAAGTTTTTCTCTGCAAAAAGAAGCTGAGAACTTTTTTTACCGACTTTTTTTATTAAAAGCTTTGTGTGACAAATTCTATGCTAAAGAGCTCAAAGCACACTGAGCATCCGCCATTTTGAGAACCAAAGAGAGACAGCCCATGTCACGTCAAGGGGCTTCCCTCCCATTTTTCTTAAAGAGACACGCTGCTCGCTCCCTCGCTATCCATCATTCAGTTCAAACAGTTTTATACTGCCATCCAGTGGTCAAAAAAGATCCTACATGCCAAACAAATAAACATTTCTTCTTAAATTTGACAATAATTACTAATTATTGTCAAATTTCAAACAATATTATTGTTTATCTCAATAATTTCTGAGACAATTAATCGCCTAGCAAAATTTGTTATTGTGACAGGCCCATCCATCATATGAGCAGGATAACTTGAAAAATAAGTGAAGTACCAAGTTCCATTTTGGTCTATGGCTTCATCTAGTCATAAGAAAGGTCACTATTGAAAACTAGATTGCTCTGCCATCGTGCCTGGTTGTGGATAAAGTTGATCAATCCACTCGCCAGGATCTGTCACTCTTTGCTGCTGTGGACAAGCAAAAACAAAAACAAATCTGTTTCTTCTTCTTCTTCAGTCTAACTCCTACCCATTTGAATATCTTGCATCAAAAATATTAAGGCTTACTTGCATTCTGTGTTCAATTCCAGTCCAGAAAAACCCTCATCTCAAAAACTACAGACATTCACTATTAAAATCCCTCAGCATCGGGGGACATCAGCGTACCGCTTGTTGTGAATGAATGCAAACTGGTTGCACATGAAACTAAACAGACTTAACTAAGTCATTGCAACTCTATGCAGGCTATTCAGCGTTGGAAAGCCAGCAAAGACCAAGAACGTCAGATGAGGATACAGAATCAAGAGGAAACTGAAGAGGCCCGAAACCGAGAGAGGAAGGCCCAGAGACTGGCCGAGCAGCACAAGTGAGTCAGCTGAGAAACTGAAGAGAAGAATAAACAGAAACTCATTTGATCTATTCACACAAAGTGTGTCAGTGTGAACACATTTGAAGATTTGCTTATTGTTTGCACTTTTACAGGACTGAGGAAGAGAGGATGGAGGTGGCAAAGCAACTCGAACTGTGGAAGGAAGAAAAAAAACGAAAAGAGGAAGAGGAAGAGGAGCAGAGACTGATTGAGGAGATTCACAAGAGGAGACAGGAAAAGGTGCTTTCTGAGGAATTTCTGCTGCCGTTACATTTATTCATGTATTTATTTAAAAAGGGGATCTCTGTTGAGTAGGAGGAGCGTTGCCGGCAGCTGGAAGTGAAGCTAGTCCTGGAGGAGCATCTTCGACTGAAGAAAGAGGAAGAGGAGGAACAGGAGAGGAAACGGAGGGAAGAAGAGCAGCGAGAAATGGAGGAGAGGCAAAGGGAGGCAGCAAAGATTATTAAATGCTTCAGTGAAAGGGTACTACGTCTTAACATGCCAAAACCAGAAAAACACAAGACTAGATGTTGTTTTTCAGTCGTTCTCGTCACGTTTTCAGGATCTTCACAAGGTGGAGGCGAAGCTTCATGAAAAACGGCTGAAGGAAAAGGGAGAAGAGGAAAGACAAAAAAGAATCACAGCTAAGCTGAAGGAGAAGGTGCATGCATGTTCAGTAAACAAAATTATTCACAAAAATCAAACATCTTTATAACAACTTTATTGGTATTTAACTCCTGACATTGAAAAATTCGTAGATTTCTGAAAACAAATAAACAAACAAAAAAAAGCTAATGAATGTTTCTGGTGCAGGTGGATGGTCGTATAGACAGAGACCCCTCCAGGTTAATCCGTCCCACTAAGGGATGGCAGGAGAGGATGAAACACATCGGACCTTCAGGGGACACACCGGTGCTACAAATGTTTCACAGGTTGGACTTTTTTGATTTTATTTTTTACTTTCCAAGGGCTTTGAAAGTGATTTGAGTAAGAATAAGTTTCTATTTTTGTTGCAGAGCTGTTCCCACTTGGAGACAAGGCCTGTGAAGAGATCAGGAGTCCTGCATCGTATTCAATGTTTTCTGCTTTAAAACAAACTGAATTCAGCAATGATGTATGTGGCAGAGCTCAACTGAACACCAAACTGTGCCTTTATTTGACTTGGAGTTTTACATCTATGAATAAAAGTCACTTCAGTTTTAAATAGTTAAACTGTTGTCATTAAAGCGCTCAGAACGAACAGCGACATCTCAGAACACCTGAGTTAGCTTTTAACACCGCTCGTAACAGTTGGGAAAAGACTGAACATCCCAAACAAGGGCTTGTTTGGGATGTTCCCTAGGTGAAAATCTTTGCTGAAAACTTTTAGGATAAGGTAAGCATCGTAAGAAGTGCACTTCATCACATTTGGCAAAACTTTCAAGCTGATTTATGGCAGGTTTTTTTTTTATAGCTACAATACCTCAACAGCTTGCAGTCATTGAGTCAACCAGAAACTTTTCATGTATACTAAAGTACTGAAGAGTCAAATCTCAGGTCATCTGTGACAGCTGGAGCTTGACCAAAACTAGCTCATGACTTTAACCCAGTTAAAATGCTTATAGTGACAAATGAGATGTGCAGAAACCTGCAAATTTGATGCAAAATAAAGAAAAGTGGATCCACAATGACCTAAAAATTAATATGGTTATACTGAAGCCAATTACTGCAACTTAATAATGTGAAAGGTGGTTTTGCAAGCTAATAATTTTGAATTAAAATGATTTTTTTTCTCACTTATGTCATAACTGGTAAAATGTGCATCCAATTCAGGTTGTATTGTATTAACCTCGTTAATGATTTATTTAATATGTCCTGATATGTTAAAATATAGAAAGTCGGTGTACTCTCATTGCACTGACTGGTCATCTTGTGATCTGGTTTTGGTTCCTTAAATGATTTCTGTTAGTATTAGTGCTATTTAAAGTGTTTACAAATGCATTTATTTCCAAAAGTATTTGATGCAATTTGTCATCGCCCATTTTCTGTAACACCTGTAAAACAACTGATTGGTCAAAGTGCTTTATAGTCAAACCAGATGACAATATGGCACAACAAAAACAATAACAATAATATAAATACTCATGTATGTCTACAAATCACTGAACAGTGTCGCCCCAACCATGTCTCTGATCTGCTACAACCGTATGTCCCACCACGTTCCCTGAGGTCAGCGGACCAGTTGCTCCTCACAGTTCCAGGAACTCGTCTTAAGCGCAGAGGTGACGGGGCCTTCTCTGTAGCAGGACCAAGACTCTGGAACGAGTTACCTCTGTTTGTCAGACAGGCCCCCTCCCTCTCGGTTTTCAAGTCCCGTTTAAAAACACTACTATTCAGTAGCTTTCAACACCAGATGATCTGTGTTTTGATCCTGGATGCTCTACACTGGTTTGTCGTCATTATCTGCATCGTTTTTATGTCTTTATTCTGATTTACCTCATTTTGTATTTTGCTTTGTGTGTTACCTGTTGTTCTGTCTGTACAGCACTTTGGTTGGCCTTGTTGCTGTTTTAAGTGCTTTATAAATAAAGTGGTATAGTATATATATAAATCAAATAAAATACATTAAAAATATTATAAAAACACAAAAAAAGTTGATGAAATTACACTAAATCAAAAAGCAAAATTAAAAAAGATAAAAATAGACAGATTAATTTTGTTTCACCCCAATTAGTCTCCTCGGTGAAAGCTTTTATTTTGAAAAGCGAACGTACCGGAAAAGATTCCCCATAGGTGCGGAAACAAAGATGGCGGAAGGGGAGAGCCAGTTTGAAGAATTGGAGCAAATAGACTTTTTGAAAGACCGACATGTACGGTTCTTTGAGAGGACGCTTCAGGTGCTGCCGGAGAGGTACTCCTCTCTGGAAACAACCCGGTGAGTGCGCCGTGGTGCCGACTGGACCTCCGGCTGCTGGGTTCGGATGATCAAACTTGACCCAGCATGTGACGGGAAAGTACTACACCTCTCTCGAAATCGAAAAGGCAACTCCGAAAACGTACCTCCCAACATCTGGGAGCTCGTCCATGACATTAAGTGACGCTGTAAAGCTCTGAATTTTACTAAACCAGTAAACTTCATGTCACCGAACCAGATATATTTTATGGGAATTCTTGTGGACACGGTTAACATTACATGTATTGAATGTGTATTAGTACTACACATTTTGCACTATTTGTTGTGCAGTTTTAGTTCTTTTATGAACATCTGGTGCACATTTGCCCTGTTTCCAGGTTATCCATTCTGTTTTTTGCCCTGTCTGGTCTGGACGTGCTGGACGCCCTCACTATGGTGGACAGGAGCATCATGATAGAGTGGATTTACTCACAGCAAGTTCTGCCCACAGAAGATAGTAGGTCACTTCTTCTCACTCTTATACCTGATGACTAACATGAGCTATCGTGTCAGTTTAGTTCAAAAGTTTGTTGCATATGTGATCATTTAGCTGTGTAGCTTCTAGGACCTTCAAGACTTTGGTGGATGAAGCATCATCATCTCTGATAGAGATTTATGAATGCCATATAGGCACACTTTAAAATCCTTTAATATTCTCAAAAATCGACAGTGAGCCTTATAATCCGGTGCGCCTTATAGTCCGAAATTTATGGTAATATTAATGAGAGGTTTAAGACTGGTCAGATACTTTCTCAATCTCAAGAGATCCTTCCTGCCCACAGCCATCAGCATCTATAACGACTCTAATGAAACTAGGATGATGAGTTCCATTTAATTTCCCTTTGGGATTAATAAATTGTTTTTGAATTGAATCTGTTTAAGCAAAAGAGACTGAAACATTGACATTCAAGATGTTTAGTTTCTAATTAATTCATCCTTGCCCTCTTATGAGTTTGGGCGGCAGGGGAAACCGCAGACATCCCTCCAGAGCACAGCCGATATGGACATTTTGTCTTTCGCCGATACCGATATCGGGAGGCGAATATCGATAACTGATAAAATGTCTGGCATTTTTTGATCTTTGTCCACCATCAAGAATCAAAGTAAACCGCTACTATTAAACTTGTTTTAACACTTGAAGTCGTCCTAACATGCATTCACATTTTCTATCCTCCACTATTCACCATAAAGTTATAAGTGTAACAAAAATATAAATTAAACAAAGAAACACTCTTCCTGTTCATTGTTTAAACGGTCTGTCACGTATGGTGAATGCCTAATTCGTAATGACCGCAGCAGCATTTTTTTTTTTTCTTCGCAGAGAAGTAAAAATTTCAGACAAACATTGCATTTCATTGAGGACGACAAAGAAAAAGTTACTAACACAAATGTATATTTACCTCTACGTTAGATTTATTGTTCTGGATAAAGTGTTACAACGCAATAGCCTATGCTAGGTTAACTTGAGAGGCATCTAGCTAATGACAAACAGGTTGGAGGATTGAAGAGAATTTATTATTAGTGATTTTTATTTATTTATTTATTTTACAGATCAGTTGAAATAAACTTACCATGCTCTGTTCAGCAAAATGCGCTACATAGTATTGCGCTCTGCTTTGGCTGTGCTGAAAGTGAAAGTTAAGGAGAACGGCCATGACTTGAAAGTAGTCTGGATACGCCCTCTGCTGGATACATTGTACAATTACGCCTTTTGCAAGTAAGGACATTGCTTGTTGGTATCAGCGCATCACGTCTTCAAACACCTATATCGGCCCTACTGATATATCGGTCCGGCTCTAGAATATATATAATCCTTCGAGTGAGTTCTGGGTTTGACCTGGAGTGGGATGTGCCTGGAAAGCCAAGGGATCAGAAGGCATCCTAAACAGATCCAATGCAGGTCAAGTTGAGTAGTTTTGCAAGCTGTGCACACAAAATAAGGCATGAGGTTTTTTTTTTTATATGGCTCCTTTTGTTGAAAACACTCGGAATTCAATGAGACGGTGGGAAATATGTGTATTTTCTCTAAATATTGAGCCAATGTTGAGTCACCGTCCAGTCTCCCAACATGTTTCCATGCACAAAATTCTTTGATCGGATTGAAATGTATTAATATAAAATAATCCAAATGTATAGTTTAGATGGGCACAATCCATTCACGACAAGCGTTTACGTGCAGCAGACTTTTATTCAGAATAGAAGTACCGCCGTGCGCAGAGTGGTAAACTCTCCTTAAAAAAAAAAAAAAACACAGAAGAAGAAGTTCTACTTCCGTGATGAACGTAAACAAACCTGAGCACCCAAAATGGATCCGCGCCAGGTTTTAATGATGGTGGAGACGTTACAGAGTCAGAAAGATTTATTTGTCATACACATCACATGTGGTACATGAGGTGGGACGAAACTATGTACGTAGGGTCCCAGTTATATCCAAGAAAAACATAAATTGTAAAGAAAAACATTAGTAAGATCCGAGTCACGAACTAAGAATATACTACATTCACTAAACTAAGAATACACTAATAGTACAAAAACAATGCTCCAATACAACAGCAGCACTAACATGAGTCTGTGTGAGCAGATGAGGACTAATAAATCCAGCAACATGAAATAATCAGCGTCATGGATAGTCAGTCAGGAGCCCTGATTGAGCTACAGGTAATACAGATAATTTTGAGCTTTTTCAAAGCTTCTGTATCGCTCACCGACCAATTTTGCTTCTCCGACAGCATCTAGCCAGGCGGGAATGCGTGAGGCAGACAGGTCGCACATTCGCAGTCAGGTCAGTTTTCCACGATTGGAATAAAATGATCAGATTAAGTGTTTACATGCACACTGTTCGGATTATGAATCGGCATAAACCAGCCCTCTCATTTGGATTATAAATTCATTCGGATCCAGCTGAATCAACAAAGAATAATCCGAGTGGGACGTTTACATGACGCATTTTTATTCCGAATGGCCGTTTAATCCGATTTCTTTATGTCCATGTAAACAGAGCTAGTCTCAGCCCAGTGAGGTGCTACCTTAGTTTCTGGCTTTGATTCAGAGGAGCATTGGTTCTACTCTTGAGGCTATCCTGAAGCTCCTCATCTTATTTCCAAGGCTGAGGCTAGATATGCACTGAAGGACACCCAGGCTAGCTGCTCGTGCTTGGGATTTTGGTCAAGATCTGAATGTCGTAACCACAGATGAGTATGTAGATTGATCAGTAAATCTGGCTCAGCTCCTTCTTCACAACCACATGCAAATGAAGCCCCAGTCCACCGGCTTATGTTTAGCTTCATCTTGTCATCACTTGTGAACAAGAGATGAAGATACCTGAAGTCCTCTGTCTGAGGCACTCACCCACAACCTGGAGGAAGTTTTTCATTGGGACGGCACCTATTATTCTACATCTCGGAAGAGTGTCTACATTTCTATCTCCGTTAATGCGCCCCGAACCACAGCGTCTACCCCCACAAAAGTTATATCAAAACGACTGGCTCGGCCCCGTGATGTGTGCTATTACTTTTGTTGGCATTTCGAGTTACCAAGGCAACGTAATTTGTGAACAAAGACGCAATATTTCACCAAATCCAGGAACTAGTTGGTGACTGCCCACTTATTATTCTACACCTGAAAAGCGCATCTTTTTCCACTTTAATGTGGCCTGAATCGCAATGTGGACCCCCACAAAAGTTATATCAAAACGACCGGCCCGGCTCCAGGAAGTGTGCAATTACTTTTATTGGCATTCACAGTTACCATGGCGACATATTTTGCTAACAAAAATGCCAAATTTCCCATTGGAAATGAATAGGAGAAAACTCTTCACAGAAACTGAGTAACATATGGACCCATTTTGGTTCAGCATACAAGGAAGGCACCCATTATTATTATTTATTTTGTAATAATAAATATAATTATAAATTATTAATGTTAATAATTATTTTAATATCAATAATTATTAATAAGTAATATTAAAGATTAATACCAATTATTGGTGTGGATATTATCAGTATTGATGATTAATTATTAATATTTTAATAATAACTGACCAATTAACAATACATTAATAATTATTAATATTAATAATTCATATTTAGTATTAATATGAATACAAATTAATATTAATATGTATTATTAATAACAATTTGATAATAAATAGGCAGTCCCCGTCAAAGTTTCTCCAGGAACTTTCTAGTTAATTTCTACCCTACTTAAGGCCTGGAAATATTCAACTTGAACGTTTTCAAACTTGAAAATGTAGTCAAGTGGTTTCTCTTGTGATAAAGAGTTAATAGCCTTAAATAGTTTTTGTGTAACCTGGTGCAACTTTACAACTAATTATCAAAAGAAAGTTAGACTTTCAGCTTTTAGTGACTTCTTTTGGGATTTTTATTAATTTATTTTTCATGTTTTGTTTTTTTTTGTCTCTAACAAGCCGCTCTATACCATCTGCTTGGATAGCCGTTTAATTAATTATTCACGACATCAACAGGAATGATGGAGGGATAGTTGCGCTCGATAGGACGTGATTTCGCTGCAGCCATATGTTTGGAGTCTGGCAGGTTCCTTGTCATCAGATGTGGGAGGAAAAAACCTAACATGAGTGGCATTTGTGATTTCCTAATGTGTTATCATTATGTTAATATGCTTTTTATGAAACTTTTAAGACATTAAGATGTTTGTGTGCATGCAGAGCCCAGGTGCATCAACTGAATTAATCTGCATAAATGCATTCATTCAGCGTGTATAAAATGTGTTTCTGCACATTCTGACAGAAGAGGAAATGCATGAAAATGTTATCAGCAAATAAAAACTCATTTTTGTAACCTTTCATATCCTCTACATACTCATTTGTCACATGTGGAAAAGCTGCTGAAACATTGGACACAGTTTATTTTATTTTATTTTTGGCTGTTGGCTTTTCTTATATTCTGTGTTGCGTTTGTGTTTTGGCCAGTAAGTGGCAGCAGCGCACTTCACTTTTATCTTTAATTATTATTTATTTTTTCTTTTTGAGCTGCTTTGCAGCATCTTACTGAAGGTCAGAACAAACCAAAAAAAAAAAAAAGAGATGAGAGTGTAAATCAAAGAAGTGCTCTCTTGTTTTACTTCCTCTTGATGTTTACAAGAATATTATGGGGAATTCTTTGCACGTCTTCTTTTTCCCTGCAGAATCTAATTTAAGCCGATGTGGATTACGAGGATCTTCACATATTGGAATTCCTTACAGGACAAAGGTACTCCCTTTCTTACCCAATTGTATGCTTAAGTTTAACTACATTTAGTGGGTTAATTTCCAGATCACTCATGAGGCAGAAGAATATTGCTATTAAAATGTTCTGCTCCCATCGTTTGTGTTTCTGACAGCCCGTTCTGATGTTCTCTTCAGGGTCCAGGTGTGTTGCATCCATATGACAGCGGTCACATAGCTATGACCTACACTGGACTGTGCTCTCTGCTGATACTTGGAGATGACCTGAGTCGGATCAACAAACAGGCCTGTCTGGCTGGAGTCAGAGCGCTGCAGCTGGAGGATGGCAGGTCGGCGCACACGTTTACACTTGCGCTCTTATTTGTGCTGGCACTTTCACTCTGACTCAGAAACACCTGAAGCCATGTGAACACGGACTAAATATAAACTGACACTACCTCGCTTTTACACCAGAACCCTTAAATTCCCCCCAACTAGAATCCCAATAAATATTTTATTTACAGCTTTAAGAACAAATTGCTGCTGTTAATTAAATTTACGAGTTTCAAAATGTTTAATTGGATCTAATTTAAAGAGGATCACATTGTATGCGCATTGTATAGGCTGTGGTGTTAATGTGTCAATCAACTAAATTCACATAAATCCTAATCTTTTATAGATTATGCATGAAAAATAACTGAGATTTCAAAAGAGGCTTTAATTCAAAGAAATTGTGTTTTTGTCTTTATATATAAAAGCACTTTTGAAACTGCAAAAAAAAAAATCCCAAGCATCCTTAAAGGATTTTTGTAAAAAGACTTTACATAAGCATTTAACTTTTAGCCCCTGAATAAACTATAAACATAAAATAAACAAAAAAAAAACTTTAATCTGAAAGGAAACGTTGTGTCTTGAAAATGGTGATGAGTCATTGGGAACACGAGCGTCACGTTGAACTTAAACAGTAAAACACGTGTCGTTCCAGTTTTAATCTGGAAATAAATTGAAGCATCATGAATGTTCCATGTGGTTCTAATGAATTAGAGAGTTTCCTTTTATAATTAAACATTTATTTCTGTAAGTTTTCAACATTTATCTGTAATGCAAACAAGAAAGCCTTTTGAATGTGTTGTGTTGAACACCAACGCAAGTGAGGGGAATAAAAACCCAGAGGAATTGTACACATTTATGTTTTTAACTTGATTTTGCCCTAATCCATAATTGTTTATAGCAAATATAACCAAACATAATGTAAATGTGATTTGAGTCACTTTATTTCTAGTTGTTTCTAAAACTGCTGACCTTGCGACTTTCTTCATCTTGCTTTCAGTTTCTACGCCGTGCCGGAGGGAAGTGAAAATGACATCCGGTTTATCTACTGTGCAACTTGTATCTGTTACATGCTGGGTGACTGGTCAGGCATGGACATCCAGAAGGCCATTGACTACATCAGAGGAAGTTTGGTGAGTGAATGTTAAATGAAATATTACATTTTCAAAGGTTTGATCAGCGAGTCAACACAAATAATCCATCCCGATGGGATTGCTCAGCCACTGTTTCTGCACCGTGCAGAAAAATCAAAGCAAACGGGGCACCCACCTTTAAGCGAGGCTTGGAAGTACGTAATTTGTTATAAATGGAGTGAAATGAGCAATGCATCATGGTCTTAAAGACATAGCAGAAGCTTTTTGCCTCAACAGTAAAGAAAAGAAACAAAAAGCTTATATTCTCCATCCTCGGTGTTTGCTTTTCTGGGCGTTCAACACATCAAAGTGTTGGGTGTGAGGTATTATCTGCTCTCCTTTTTGTAGAGAGCACGTCCCACGAGCAACTTCAGCTCGAGTCTATTTCCCACTGGACTGTTTTATTACAGAGTCTTTATTGTTTTGGGGGTGGGTTGTAGTGAACCTGATCTGACCCTGATGACCTCAAATCTATCAGATGGACAGAGACTGTTATTTCATTGATCTGAATACAGTTTGAGCCATCTGGTGACTTTCTTTCTTGAATTAATCAAGCAGAAAAGACAATTCTCTATGATCATCACTGTTTTACAAATGTTTGATAATCAAATTGTGTTAGTTCACTCAATGTTACAGGTTGAAAAGAACTACTCATTTTTATTTTACATAAACAGTAAGTAATGATTTTTATTCCTCATTCAAAGAAGAAATCAGGTTAATATGCATTTCTTGATTTTCTGTCTGAAATGAGCCAAGTTTGTAAGTATGTTAAAGGTCGGTTTTCGGTCAACTAAAATGTTTACCGAGAAAAATGTCATGTTTAAACTTTTTCAGAAGATAATAAGTGTGAGACTCCACGAAGTCTGAAGTCCTACAATAATCTTTCTGTTGTCACTAAAACAATCCTTGACTTATGATAACATCTTACATCACAAACCACACCTCTATTTCTGGTCCATCGACCAATCAAAAAGCTCTCAAATGACCCGGAAGTCGACCCATTTAAAATGTGGCAACTTCCCAGTTCATGCAGAGGCTGAGGAGTTGCAAGAAGCTGAGACGCAGAGTCTGGGAGTGATAGAGAGTAAGAGTCTCAGAGTGATGGAGGTTCTGAAGAAGTTCTAGAGTCTGAAAACTCTGATGTCTGATGGGGAAAACTCTGATGTCTGAAGCCCAGAGTGCTTCCGTTGGAATACAGAATGCAGTGACGATGTTGGAATTATAATTTCTGTTTGAACACCACGTACGACTCTCTGAGGGTTTGGCAGTTCTCACGGAGACGCTGAAAGAGTCAGAAAGGAACCTACTCCGACGCTGATTCCATCGTCAACCAGGTAGAGGGTTCTATTTTCGACTAAGTGTACCGGAGGCCAGCTGATATCTGATGGAGCGTGCACGTTTTCTGGTCAAACAGATTAATTCCCTCACATATCTCTCTGTAAGATAAATCTCCATCTCCATCTTAAACTCTGCTTTCTCATAAAATCAGTACAGATATTTTAGAAATATCTGAAGCAAAGTCCTCAATCACCGCCGCGTGATTGAAGCTCATTATTTTGTGAAACTTGTCTGTTATTATTTTCATATTTTGCCAAATTAATGTAAATGTTTGATGTTAAACTTTGATTCTGAAAATAAATGACCGCATTCATTTGATGGGTCAAAGATAATAACGTCTCTCGTTCGCATTTCTGTTAAATTCAATGCACGACATTACACAGTCAGAAAGATGAGGAACTCGTGAAAAAGTATGCATATATATCTCGTATATGTACTACTACAGTTGGTGGCGTACGTACGTACGTTACTACTACAGGGTCATTCCCCTTAAAAAATAAGAATAAAAACACTTGGGAAAAAAGGATAAAAATATATTTTTTTATTATTATTTAAAAAAGTAATTTTTAATGCTGATAGGCAAATCAGGCTGTTAAGAAGGTACCTCAATATGTTTAGTATCATGAGAAGATGAGTTTATTTGTTTTATTTGTGTTTGCCAGCTGTTTGTTCTGCTCTTATCAGAGGAGACAGAAGAACAAAACATCTGTATGCAGACAATTCAGCAATGATTTGCTTTAAAGTGTCCATTTCATGGTAACCCGTGTTTATAAATAAAAAAAAAAACAGCTGCTTTGTGTCATTAAAAGCTAATTTAGGCTGAAATGACACCCGAATTGGACCACAACGATTTCAAATTAAAGGTCACCTAGCAAGTAGATATTGTGAAATGCTGATGGCAAAAAGGAAAAAAAGAGAAACATAACTACTTCAGCTCTTCTTTTAAACCTATGATTGTGATTTATTTATTTATTTTTAAGCCGACACTGATTGTAGCACTTTTGTATGCCTATATAAGGAAGTTCCTGTTAGAGATGCCTCTTGTGATATGAACAAGTCTCACTTAAGAAGCTCTTTCACTGCGGTGACATTTTTAATAATAATAATAAATAATAAAGTGCTGCGTGTTGTCATCATTGTAGGTTCCCATACAAAGATGAAATTGTCTTTCCGAATTTAATCCATCGCACATGGGATGCACCCAGGTGGAGCAGTGGGCAGCTACGTAAGCGCCTGGGGAGCAATTCGGGATTGGGTGTCCTGCTCAGAGACACCACGAGATGTGCAATGACCGGGGATCGAACCCAGGACCTTCGGGTCCCGAGTCGGCTGCGCTGCCCCTACACCATTCAATCAGAAAATAATGACCTATTAATTTATTTGTAGTACCTCCAAATTTTGATCAGCATTTTCTTTCATTAATAGGGATACACGATATTATCAACATGGTATTGGTATCGGCCAATATTGGCAATAAAGTTAAATATCGGATATCGGCCAGTCCATTAAAATAACTCGCCGATATAAAAGGTGCTGTTTTTGTATGACAACTCGGTGACAAGGATGCCTGCAGCGCCAGCACAACGTGATGACATCACCCGCATCGTTGAGTTTAGATTTGTGAAAATTTACAAATTTGCACTGTTCAAGTGTTGTTGTGTTAGAGTAAATATCATGAATACATTTGACATTAAACATAATCCAATTGAAGTGTTACATCATTTTCAGCCCCTTTTTTGGCATCTGCATTTGGTAGCAGGCCAAACTGACAAAGACCATGCAGAATAATGTATTTTAATTCCACAGCAGAGAAAACTATCTAGTTTCTGTAAGTAGGTTTAGGGAAAAATATTGGTATTGGTATCAGTTATCGGCTAAATAAGTTTTAATATATCGGGATATCGGCCAACACAAAATCCAATATCGTGTATCTCTAGTAATTTATGAATATATTTTGCACTGAAAATACTAATATATATTTTTTTATTTTCCTTCTCCACAGTCATATGACAACGCATTTGGCCAGGGAGCCGGGAGAGAGTCTCATGGTGAGTTTGGGAAATTAATTAAATGAATAAAACAGTTTACAGTGGTTTACACACACGAGGGATGTTTATTTAAAAACTAAGAAATTACTTCCCATAAATGTCTGAGTTTAGAACAAATGTAATGGTCGTGATTGATCTAGATTTTTAATTAGTTTGTTTTTCACTGCGAGATTTCTATCACACATGCACACAAAAAGTGTTTTCAGGATGAAGTGGAAGGCATGAAAGTGACTAATGGGAGGAAATGCTTTTAAAGGATTAACCGTTCAAATCCAGCCCTATAGATACACTACATTGTTCTCCGTAATCCTCCCTCCACTCTAATAAACCTTCTTATTCTGACACAAAAGCCTTCATCCTTCAAAACATTGCTTGGGAACATACTTATACTAACCTCATTGTCACGGTGATGAAAGTATTTCCTATTAATGTTGTGGAAATGATCAAATGAAACTGGTCGGAAGGTTTGTAGCGATTCTCTCCTTGTGATATATGTGACTCCTGCCATTATAGGCTCCACTGAGATTGTGCTCTCTGCAAGTCAGCCAACTCCGTGAGGATTGATTATGCATCAGTAGCGATGCTTAGCTGAAGCCCATTACCCATCCACCCTTGAGGTGTGTTTGTTCAGCACCAGGACCTCCCACACTTGTTTGTGATGTGCTCAGACTTGTGTGGTGTTGATAATTGTGTAGCTCAGTTTGTGAAACATGGAGTTAAAGAAACTCCTGTGCCTGGGCATGAAATTGGATGTTTCTTCTGTGCAAAGTTTATATTCTGAATAATGTTTTTATTTTACACTTGCCTCTATATTTCAAGATATATTGTCTCTTTAAGGCTGCAATTAACATTTATCAATTTATTCAAGGCATTGTCTGAATGGGACTTTGCTGCATTTTTAAAAACTTTTTTATGATGCAATTGCTCCAAACCCACTTTGTAAGTTTCCGATTCAGATTTATACACCTCTTATTTCCTCTCTGTGTAAATCTGGCAGCTATTGAATAAGGCTTGGTTGATTAGTAGCAGCTGTAACATGATGGCAGATTTACTCCTTTTACCACACACAAAGAAGTAGACTGCACAGAAAGCCTGCTATCATTTCATGAAGGCTTGGCTTTTATTTATTTTATTTTTTGTGGCTCTAATTTTAAAGCTGCTCTGCCCCTAAATTTAAACTTTTAATGTCTGTTAGAAAACACAGCATTTACTTCCTGGAAGACCACAACAACAATTTAAAGCTTGTAAACTCCACTATTTTACTATGTCTTTTTTTTTAATTAAAGGTTATTTACTGTTTCTAATATAAACAGAAGTTAGGAAGGCAAGATGCTATCAATTATGTTTTGAATATATGGTTCCAAATGCATCCAGGCTGTTTTTTTTTTGTTGTTTTTTTTAACTGAATTATTTTGTTTACCTCCTGATTCTTATGAAAACACATTAACAGCGTTTAAAAGTCCGACTCAGCTGGATTTGTTCGTACATATGTCCTCTGTTGTGCCCAGGTGGCTGGACGTTCTGCGCCATCGCCTCTCTGTGTCTGATGGGTCGACTAGAAGAGGCGCTGAGTCAGCGGGAGCTGGACAGGATACGGCGCTGGTGCATCATGAGGCAGCAGAACGGTTTCCATGGACGACCCAACAAGCCTGTAGACACATGCTACTCCTTTTGGGTGGGAGCCACGCTGGAGGTAACAACAGAAGTAACAAACACATCAAACATGCTCTCCTGCATGCATTGACAAGTTTGTGTGTATTTAAGCTACAATTCAACACTTTTTATCTTTAATGCACTCTGTCTAAATCTGGTTCTGGTAAAAGCTATACCTTAAAGCGGTGGTTCCCAACCCTGGTCCTTGAGGAACACCATCCTGCATGTTTTAGTCGTTTCCCTGCTCCAACACACCTGATTCAGTGATTTAATTACTTCCTCATGTTCTGCAGAAGCCTGTTAATTACCTATTAATTACCAGTAAAATCAGATGTGTCTGAGCAGAGAAACGACTAAAACATGCAAGATGGTGTTCCTCAAGGACTACGGTTGGGAACCCCTGCCTTAAAGAACCTCAGATTATCTACAAGTAAGAGCATTTCATTGTCATGCTTTATAACAAAATTAGAATTTGACATAATGTCAGTTTTCTTTTTCCTTCAGTTCAACTATAAGAGCATCATCTTAACTCCTAAAACTGCTCAATTTGTTAAAGCAATTAGTTAATAGTGAAAATGTATACAAATAAAAATCAGCAAAGTTTAACAGATCGACATGTATGCATTTTTTGTTTTCCTTCTCGTCCTCCATGCTCTCTCTCTTGCTGCAGCTGTTAGACGTGTTCAAGTACACGAACTTTGAAAGGAACAGGAGCTTCATTCTGTCCACGCAGGACCGTTTGGTAGGCGGCTTCGCCAAGTGGCCCGACAGCCATCCAGGTAAATGAAGTAACCTGCAGAGCAGCGTCTTTATCAGCGCGAGTAAAACCTCATTAACTGAGCCACTGTGTCCGTTTTTTTGTCTCCATAAAATCTAATCCCTGGGGTTTTATAATGATGATAAAACCGCAGGGCTGAGTAATAGGTTTAATGACTGTGTAGAAATGGCTACTCGTTCCTCTGTAGCTACAAAATCTCTCATTAGGAACAAAAAGATTGTGGGTCTGAGCATTTTCAGCCCATCTTCTTCTCTTTTCCAACAAACAGTTTGTCTCTCACCTCCTCCACAGGCGCAGCGAGGCAGGGTGGGGCTGTGGCTGCTAGCTCTGCCTGATCAATGGAAAGACTTGTAACCCTAAACTTCAGTGTGTGTGTGTGTGTGTGTGTGTGTGTGTGTGTGTGTGTGTGTGTG